CTGAAAGTAAGGTTTGCAGTTTTCACATTGCTACAATTATCTGAAACTAAAGTTTGCAGTTTTCACATTGCTACAATTATCTGAAACTAAAGTTTGCAGAGTTTTCACATTGCTACAATTATCTGAAATTAAGTTTGCAGAGTTTTCACATTGCTACAATTATCTGAAACTAAAGTTTGCAGTTTTCACATTGCTACAATTATCTGAAACTAAAGTTTGCAGAGTTTTCACATTGCTACAATTATTTGAAACTAAATTTTGCAGAGTTTTCACATTGCAAAAATTAGCCCTTACAAACCTCACCAGCAGTGAGCACTAGGATCCTCGGGAATGAACTTAAGCAAGCCACTGGAGTGTGTGTGTATTGTGCTCAATAGGCTCCTTGGGGGCTGGAATCTTCAGCAACAGACTCTCTTACTGTTCACAGATGAGAGCAGGTTCTGAGACTGACGTTGGAGAATTGTCCACCTTTATGCCTGTGGGGGTGAATCAAACACGATCTGAGGTAGCATCTCTATGTGGTGTGGATCCCTGACAGCAGGATGTTATGTAGATCCTACTATTATTTTTTCACCCCTTTGCTGGTGCTGTTGCAGACAACTGTGTATGAACAGGATAATGTTTACCCTTACACCACATGGATGAATGAATAGAGGTACTGTACTGGCCTGCTAAGTCATCAGACCTAAATTCAATTGAGCATCAATGGGATTTGCTACGGAGATCAGTTAGAGACAGACAACCTGCTCCTACAACTTTCCACACACACACAAATTTCTTTCACAACTGTTCAGTAGTTCAGAGATGCCCTCATCCAGGACTGGACTTATATTACAAACTAACCGGAGACCATTGGCCAATATGTCAGTTATTGCAAACAATTCCTCCCACAGAATATTAAACTTTTCTCAAAATGTAGGAATATCAAGTAATTATAAATGACTTATTTTTATTATTCTGTGTGTTTTCATTGAGGGGCTGTGTACATTAAAGAATGAGTAAAGATGTACAAGGTTAACTTTAATGGTCACTTACGTACCATTCAGTTATAAAATGTTATAATTCTAAGCTGGTGTGACCTATGTGAACTGTTTCAATGTTTTAGTTAATTTTTTTTATATATAAACATGATTTTATGTCTTGAAAACACAACATTAAAACTATGACTCATCATCTGGCCTACAGATTCTTAAGAGGGCCTCAATTGGTATAATTCATGAAAACAAAACAGCTTTGTTACAAGTAAGCCACCTGTAATTATCTTTAATAATACCAGCTGTTGTAGTAATGTGAGTAATTATGGAGACACACAAGAATCTGGCTCTTGGCTGGGAAGAGGGTAAAGAGGATACCAACAGGTCATCGACTTAGATAGATCCAGCCGACCAAGTTCAATTTCTACAGCTCCCATAGGGTGGTTGTGATCAAAGCCTTTTTGTCGTTCCCATACCATAACCTAAGGAAGAAAAGATACATCATGTATATGAAAAGTGGAATATTATTATAAACATGACCTTAGTCAAGTAACTGATATTTAAATTGAATTGTCTCTAGACTGTTCCTTCCTTTCTAGTTGCCCACTTTTGGTCTCTGTTAAAAGTTTTGGCTGAGAAAATTGAAACATCAGTCTCTAAACTTTTATTAAGTTCCATCTATAGAAAATTCTTAGAATATTAAAAACAATATCAATCAGTTTTACTTTAGGGTTAGTATGCCTTAAAATCAAGACTTAAGCAGGGTTGTCAAATCAAAAGTTATTTAGAAAAATATTCCACTCTTATTGCGTATTATTAAACCTAATTTTAGAAGGGTATAAAATCTCATTTCATACAATCAATATTCATGCAATGATATAAAAGCATTTGAAACTAAGTTTAAATTAGTTCTTAGAAAAAAAAACAATAAAGAAAAAATTACTGAAAGATTGATATCAAAATGAGAAGAGAACTGTCTAATTCAAACCAAAAAAACCTGCAGTTAAGGTTATTACTGTTATCAGTACCAGATTTAGGCTAAACAAGTTACAGCTTAGGGCCTCACAATCTGCAGGGGCCTCACAAAATTTCAGATTTTCATTTGCTTTTAAAATTTTATGTGTACTGTAGTTTTTGAAATGGCTTTATATGTAATTAATTTAAGTAATATTTTCATTCTTGAATGCAGACTCCAGAGTGCCAAAGTATCTGTCCGTCATCACATGCCAAACGTGTGTCTGCCATAAATGAGAGTTACAGGTCAATCATCGATGTTCAAAGTCATCTCCATACTAATGAGAATGAAAAGGGTGATACAAGAAGACAAGCTGGTACTCTTCTGGAAAAAAATGGAGGAACTGGAGTTTGTTTTTATGCTACACTTATGGACTCGTTTACTGGGGGAGTTTCACAAATCCAGTAATGCTCTCCAGGATCCACAGATTGCACTTACCACATGTACACATCACTTTCCCACTTTGTGAAAAATATTCGAGAAAATTTTGATGATATTGAACAAGAAGCTAAATCCAAACTGTCTGATGTAGAATACAAGTGAGCAGAGAAAAGAAGGAGAAAAAAACAAGCCAACAATGGTGGTACACCCAATACTGATGAAGAGCTTTCTCTAAAAGACAAATTTCGAGTGAAATCCTTGACATAAGCATGGAAGTGTTTCAGTTACCCTATAAGGTTAATATCAACATCGATTGGATACTCTTTCATCAAAGTTTCTACTGCTTCACGTAGCTGTGCCTCTGAAGCTTCTAAATCAACTAAAAATGAAAATTTGTTTGCAGCATAATTGTCGACTGTTGCTCTTCGGCTCAAGTTTGCTTCAAGGACATCTATTATAGGAATTAAACAGAATTATCCAGGAAAAGAACAAATTTCCCACCAAGATCTGTATCAAATCATCTTCCAAGACAAGATTCATTTAGTTTTCTCTAATGTGGAAGCAATATTACAACTATTCTTATGTCTGATGGTAACAACTTGTTCAGGAGAAAGGTAATTTTCACAGCTAAAGAGAATCAACAATGAACTGAGAGCAACCATGTCTCAAGACAAACTGTCTTCACTTAGCATCATGTGCATAGATTGTTTGTTTGTTTTGTAATTAAGCACAATGAGAGCAACCATGTCTCAAGACAAACTGTCTTCACTTAGCATCATGTGCATAGATTGTTTGTTTGTTTTGTAATTAAGCACAATGAGAGCAACCATGTCTCAAGACAAACTGTCTGCACTTAGCATCATGTGCATAGATTGTTTGTTTTGTAATTAAGCACAAAGCTACACAATGGGCTATCTGTGCTCTGCCCACCACGGGTATCAAAACCCAGATTTTAGCATTTTAAGACCGCAGACATACCACTGTGCCACTGGGAGGCATGTGCATAAAAAGCAATAAGCTGTGTAGCATATCATTTGAGGACATAATTCATGATTTTGCTTTTGAGAAATCAAGAAAGAAAATGTTTTAAGTTGTATCTGATATCAGTTTTCTGATCTTGCAAACGAGTTCATTATTATTTATACTAACTTCTTAGCACACATGGGCATTACCTAAGCTAAATAAAATCGTCTAGCATTAGCCAGAATAAAATACTAATAGTGATTCTGATTACTTATTTTGTCAGCATTTGGTATATATATTAATGTAGCTTGAAATTATTTTAAAAATTACATTTAAGTATTGTTTCCAGTATATACTTTATTATAATTTATGAGAGAGATAAAGCCAGCCAAATGATAAATATGTAACCAGTAAATGGGTTCATTTGAAAATAATTTGTATTTTTCACTTTAAATACCTTGCTGTTAAATAATTAAAAGGTATATATATGTTTTTAATTTTTTTGTGGTGACCCAAGGTCCTGTTTTGGTACGCACCTTTGTGAGACCTTCTGGTGTAACTTTTTAACAAGGGGCCTCCAAGCTTTATATAGCTTAGGGTCTCACCAAGTCTAAATCAGGCACTGACTGTTATAAAGAGAGCATGTGGAGTACAGTTGTACAAGCTTTACTAATTGAACCCATTAAAAATGTTCTGTAAATTTACAATAAACCACTGTGGTATTCAATAATAAACTGCTGTGGTATTCCATAATAAACCAGTGTGGTAATCAGTAACAAACTGCTGTGGTAGTGAGTAATAAGCCACTGTAAAACAAGTAAGATGAACATATAAAATAGCATCATTATCCACAGATAGGATGTGTGTCTTTAATTCCTGACCAGCTTCTTAATAACAACTGAATTGTGACTCCTCATGGATTAGAGTAGTCCTGTGATTTACATGCCAGACTGTGGTTCTGAATGCCATGGTTCATATCACATTGCTACAAAATTGTGTTCTCCACCATAATATCATGGGTGCATTAAGAGAGTGACTGTCAAATCCCACTATTTGATTAGAGTAAGTTAATAGTTAGTGATGACTAGCTTCCTGCCCTCTAAACTATCAATTCTAAATTATGATGGTATAACTGCACAAAACAAACAAACTGGCTGGCTGATGGCTCAGAGAGATGGTTTTCAAAATGTCTTTACACAAAAAATGACCCCCATTTTTAAGTGATATTAGAGTCATTAACTTACCTCTATCAATATCATTGCAAATAAATATATTTAATGGTGATAAACTCATATAGCTTGTACAAGTCTCTTTACCACCAGTTGGACCCATGCTAGGAGGTAATTACAGAGAAGCAGAAACAAGTTTGTTTGACGTAGCGAGTTAGTTCAAGTTCCTATATTCAATTTACAAAGATGTCGCAGAATACCTACATGGAAACTTGGAACAATTACCCAAATGTATCTAACAAAAAGTACACAGAGGTTGAGTATATTATACTAAAATAATTTTGGAGCTTCTCCACATTGTTACAGCCCATGTCCATTCGTGCTCTGTCTGATGACAATACAGCTTAGTATCATTTGAACAAGGCTCTGCTGTGTCAAAAGCACATCACACCTCCCTGATGCTTTCCATAATCCATAAAGAGAATGATGGTTTTCAGCACCCACTTCATGAGTCTGATCATACAGAAGTCCATATGCACTCCATTTGATGACTTGACTGGTATAGATTCATACAGAATATCACAAATACTTGATTAATTCTCCAGCTGCTTGAGGTATGTAATGGTTGAATTGATATGTCATGGAAACAACTTATGTACATGTGACTTGTGTCATTTTACCACATGGAGATTCGTTTTGGTTATGTTGCATACAGTTGCCTGAGATATTTAAATGGCTTGTACCACTGATCTTTGTACTGGTACATTATCATCTGTTACAAGCTGTCATATTTTGTTTGCCACAGCTGAGGTATGACTTGTTGCAGATCTCTTTGTGGATGGTCCTTCTTTTACTCTCCACTGTCATTAACTAAAAGGCATATCCCAGTCTTGTAAATTCTAAATTCCCAAATTGAACACATCTTTATGATGCGAGTTTATGAATATTTTTCATCCCAAAAGTGGTCATTCTTCATTGGAATCATGCTATCTACAGAATGCCAAACAATATCAAAATGTAGTTCTGATACGTGTCATTTCATTGTATGATATTATTACAGTTTCCCTTTTTATATTTAAGGTTTTTCTAAGACCCAAGCTTTAAAATTAGTGCAGCACCAGGCCTACACGAAGGTCATTATATGACTTTCTGGTGTTTTTTTCTTTATTTTTTACATGTTATACTATGGTTTTATAGAGTATAGAAAAAAGATTCTTTTGTGAATGGGTTAGGGTTTTCCACTCCACCTGACCAGTGAAAGGGTTAAAAAAAGCTCATACTCTAAGGGTCTTCAGAAGCCCAACCCTTGTTGCATTGTTCATGCAGCCACAGTAACTGGACATAGGAGGCAATGTTATTCCACATGGAACCATGGTTCTTGTAGCATGTAATGCAGTGGAGCTGAAGATTGACACTTCATTGATGCAGCCACAGTAACTGGACATGGGAAGCAATGTTATTCCACATGGAACCATGGTTCCTGTGCCATTTGAGCCTTTGGTGCTGTTATGGACCCTGGAGGTCGTTGTGGAACTGATATTACAACTTCAATTGACATTGCTGTTGGTTTTTCCCTCTGCACCAACCCATAGTTTTATGTGACCATGTCTGTGTAGCCACAAACTGTATCAGTCAGTGAACTCATTAGTGTGTATCTCATTGGAATAAGCAGGATATACGATAGGAAATGTTATCCCATATAATCTCAAATTATCTGCATTAGTGGCTAAAGCTTTGAATCTAGTTCTGTGAATCACTCTGCTCTCCAAGTGATTGATCTCACTAATTCACAGCTGAAGTCTGACTAATTGCTGGAGCAAACAGCTGGTTTCCACAACGTCAGCACAGGAGAACTTAAGGATCTAGAGTCGTATAGATATCCCACTTATAATTGTTTGTTTGCTTTTTTGTAATTTGGCACAAAGCTACACAATGAGCCATCTGGGCTCTGCCCACTACGGGTATCGAAACCCGGTTTCTTGCATTGTAAGTCCGTAGACATACCGCTGTGCCACTCGGGGGCCCCACTTTTAAGTCAGAGGAGAGTCCTATAACAGTATCTTACAATCCTTAGACGATCATTCCAAATAACCTCACACTAACTTTTACAAATATATGTACCTCTTCTTGAAATTATTATATTGTCGCTACAGGAAGACACAGAAATTCCACTAAAGAAATATAATTTTACGAAACAAGCATTGTGTTATGTAACCTTTGACCTTTGTATAAGGTGGAGGTTTATTGTAAGTTTACGATCATGTGCATGTGTTAGTTAGCATGTTAGTATGTGTTTATTAGTAGTAATAAAAGGGTAAAAAGATGGTGATAATTCGTATGAGCTAATAGTGGCTCCCTCAGTTTTACACACTGATTCAAGGACACGCCTGAAACAAAATAACGTATTAACTAATTTCTATAGTTACATACTTTGGAAGGACATAAATGAAAAGTTATCAATATATTTTATCTGATGGATCACTTACTGGATGATTAAATAAGACCAGTATAGCCAAATTTATATGAAAGATCGCATATTAAATGTAATTTATATTCTTCTATATAATAAGGAAATAGTTAACTATGTGACAGTTACAGACAACACACTGTACATACATATTTTTTTAAAAACTTTTTATCAAAAATTTTCTTAATATACTTTTTAAAGTATCTTACCAATAGATGGCGGCCCTGAATATCTGACATACTATATTTTAATGTTTGGCGATACTGTGGACTTGAAGTACTGCGTACAACTCGAGTTTTACGTTTCTGCAACTGTTTTTCTCCTTCCTTGAGATAGGTTTTGATGTACGTATCTGTAACATAAATGCAACAGATACTTTCAAAGGTAAAAGTTATTTCGTAAACCACCCCTTACTATATTCTTGAATACTGTGCTGACTGTACTTTTAAATAGTATAGTTCACACGAGTTACTAATACATAGTACAACTGTAACAAGCACGAGTTACTAATACATAATACAACTGTAACAATCACGAGTTACTAATACATAATACAACTGTAACAATCACGAGTTACTAATACATAATACAACTGTAACAAGCATTTCATCAAATTCAATTTTATTTACTAAATATTTAAATGTCAGTTGCAAACATTTAAAACCGTTAACATAAAGATCAAAGGTCAATTATTAATAATTGCATTACTTATTTTTCACATAGTTATAACAACCTTCTCTATACTTTAGGGGAATTGAAAATTTATGAAACACAAGTGTTTAAGTGAAACCGTTTCAGGAAAAATTGAGACAGCCCCTTCATAAGATAACTTAAGAACAAGCACCTTCATAAGATAACTTAAGAACAACCCCTTCATATGCCAACTTAAGATAAGCCCCTTCATAAGATAACTTAAGAACAAACTCCTTCATAAGATAACTTAAAAACAAGACAAAATCTCTTCCGTTTTCCTACAAGAATCTCAAATTTGCAACACGTAGAAATTTTTGTAATATATTTTACATTTCTTGGATGAAATCATCAAAAGCATTATACATAACCTCTTTACTGTTAAACACCTTGCAGTTTTATTATTCTGTTCACTGGGCCTGTTTTTAATGAAAACCAAAAGATTAAATTTTTTGTATTAGAAAAGAACACGTGATACACATTGGCTAGACCTATTCTTACTGGGAGCTATTACTTTATAACCCCCAGCGAAGGTTAGCTGTGAACTCTAACAAATAAGCATTCGTGAACCAAACAGTATCAGCACACTTTCCTGATGACTCGCTGATCAGAATGAAGGCTTACAAGACTAACATTCGAGGTTAGATTCCTGTGATGGGCACAGCGTAGTTGACGCTTTGTTCAGCTTGTTACTTAACAATAAACCTTCACGACACAGTCCTCTTGTGTGTCACACTGTTCACCAAAGTACAACCCTTTCTTCACTACTCGTAGAATGAGTAACTACAACACAATCGAGACTAATTTTAAAATAACAGTAAAATATTGCTGTAAACTGTTAATACATTTTTCAAATGTAATTATCCCCCCCGGTGGGACAGCGATAAGTCTTCGGATTTACAACGCAAAAATCTAGGGTTGGATTCCATTCGATAGACACAGCAGATAGCCCAATGTGACTTTGCTGTAAGAAAACACACACAAACTCAAATTGGATTATCTTAATCAGTTTTATAATTAATAAAATCAGTAAATCATTTATTACATTATGGTTGACTGACCCTAAAATCGGTAAATCCTTTATGACATTATGGTTGACTGACCCTAAAATCACTGAACCTTTACGACGTTAAGGTTGACTGATCCTAAAATTATTGAACCGTTAGGACGTTAAAGTTGACAGATCGTAAAATAATTAAACCTTTATGACATTAAAGTTGACCAATCCTACGCCCCCCTGATAATGACCTAATATGAACATTAAACCTTTATGACATTACCTGGTGGTTGACCTAAGGATGAAGGTGGCAGCTGGCAAGCACAGAAGACTTCTACTTCTAACTGACCCTTGGTCAACAAAAATCCCAGTTTTATTTCTCCTAGTGTCTCTACTGAAATTGATAAGAGTAATTAAGTTTGAAGGTTTCCTTGAAATCTTTTGAAACTTGAAAGCTATTATGACGTAATTAAATAAAATACCTTAATAAACTTCCAAACTTACTAAAAATCTATAGTAGCAACACAAATACAGGTATATATATATACTTAGTTTACAGTTAAGATTATGTTTAACAACAATACATTTAATCTTAAGTAAACTTACGCATCTTGTTTAGTTGCAATGGTGCTAGGTTATTGTATGTTGATTAGTAATGTTATTTTTCACTGTAAACTTGATGTTCATTTATAATAAACACATAAGATGGTAAGATTGAGCTCTCTGCCACACTCTTCCAGTTTTCCTGAAGATAAATTATCCTTCTGCTACACTTCCCATGTTCCAAAAGATCACTGATCCTTCTGCTACACTCTTCCTGTCTTCCTGAAGACCACTGATCCTTTTGCCACAGTCTTCCCGTCTTCCTGAAGATCATTGATCCTTCTGCTACACTTCCCATGTTCCTGAAGATCATTGATCCTTCTGCTACACTCTTCCCGTCTTCCTGAAGACCACTGATCCTTTTGCCACAGTCTTCCCGTCTTCCTGAAGATAATTGATCCTTCTGCTACACTTCCCATGTTCCAAAAGATCATTGATCCTTCTGCTACACTCTTCCCGTCTTCCTGAAGACTACTGATCCTTTTGCCACAGTCTTCCCGTCTTCCTGAAGATAATTGATCCTTCTGCTACACTTCCCATGTTCCTGAAGATCACTGAACCTTCTGCTACACTCTTCCCGTCTTCCT